GGCAGCTCCCAGCTCAGTAACGCTGAAGCCAAATGCTCCTTTGGAAACAGCGGATGTGCCAGCAGCGGCATGCGTCCTGCGGTTTAGGACCTCCTCTCTCTGTGTTTTGGTTCAGCTTTTGGGTTTCTTTTCTACGCTGGTGCCCATCCTGAGAAACATGAAAGGGAATTTGACCGTAGGGGAGGACAGCGTTTTCCTCATACGTGCGTGTGTTTGCTTCTAGAAGGCAGAAAAAGACACAGTTTTAAAAAGTGAACTCTTTCAGGTGTCTCAGGCTGGCTGCGCAAAAGCTGCCCTGCAGGACCTTCTGGTGTTCAGATGCCGTGAAGATATTTTGGTGGCGTTTTGCCACGCAGCAGTGACGTAAGTGGGAGCGTTGCTGTGGGCACCTGGCAAAGGAGGCATTCGTGACGCCGGGACCAAGATTGCTGAGCGTTTACGACACCAAGGTTCAGCTTCAAGGTTATCTTCTGCCGTGAGGTGGAAGTCTGTCAGAGGTTGTAGCGAGGCGTCTAGAAGCTCTTTGCTGGTTCCTTAACCGAGGTAGAATCAGAGCATCGTTCTGAGAGTTTTAAAAATATATCCTTACTACATCTGCCTCTTTAAAATTAGCTTCTGTCGTCTGAGCCAAAGCCTGAGAGAACTCAAGCAAGCATCCTGCTGTGGTGTAAGGGAATTGCCTGGGGTCGAAGTGGTGGCAGAAGTAGAAACCGGGAGTGCGTACAGAACATGAGTGATTTTGCCTGAAGAATCATGCACACAACCAAAGTGCCAGGTTTCCAGCTGTGTGGTCGCCTGCTTCGCTCCATCTGAGCCGTTTGGGATGGGGACAGGAATCGCTGAGGCGAAGGGGGATCCTGTAGTTCTGTGCCAGCATTACACATATGTATATGTACACATATATACATACACATATGTATTAGAGATCTGCTGTTGTCTGTATGGAAGGTAGTAGGGTTTTTGTCATTCTGGTTCTTTAAAATATGGAGAAGCTGTAAAGATACTGGGCAAGCGTGGAGCAGATCTTTTTAGCTGTACGGTGAGTTGAAAGTTTAATTTTCTTCTTTAAAAGAAGAGGTAACAAGCAGTGCCGCGTGTTGCAGCCCATCTCCCAGGAGGAAGCAGCCGGGCAGGGTTACCGGTGTGTACGTGGGTGACTTCATGCAGTGTTCTCATAGCTTGATTGCAGCTCGCTTTTCCGTAGTCCTGGTTTCGGCGTGGAACATCCTGTGACTAAGATGGTTTCCTAGCAGCATGATTTAGGGCCAAGCGTCACATTGCATCATTTCATGAGACACTGTGGTGTCAATACGTGCCATTACGACCTAAGTCACACGTAGCGCAGGAGATGGAGGGCAGTCAAATTGAATTTTAGCTTTTTTCAAGCTGTGATTAGAAATGAGACGGATACTTCAACACCTCGTAGTAGCTGAGTGGTAAGAGCAGTCACCAGGAAGGGGAGGAGAGCTCTAGGGTTTACCTGAAGGAGGAGGCTGCCAGTTTCTCACATTTAGAGAGGTCCCGAGGAAGAGTCCCAAAGTCTGACAGTACCAGAAACTGAGAGAATCAAAAGAAAACAGAAACCTGTAGTCGATGAAAATGTTCCTCCCCTGCCTCATGAACCTGTTCCTCTCAAAACAGGATTTCAGTCACAGTAACTTGAGGTGACATTACTGTTGAGTTTATTACTTCCAAGCCATGGGCAGAAGGCTTTCAGAAACTTAACACATAGCTATGCATTAAGGTAATAGTGTTGTTTAAAACGATTCTTGACTGGTAACCCTCCTGTCTTATGTTCTTTACATGCCTTTTACGCAGTCACCGTAGATGACTAGTTTGGGTTCTTTTTAAGGGCCTTCTGAAACAAGCTTGTCATACAAGAGCGAAGGCTGAGGCAGCAAGCAGTAAGCATGTAGAAGATAAGAAATGTACCCGAACTGAAAGCTGCAAAGTAAAGATTATGTATTTTTAACAGCCTCCAGTTTAGACTTCTGTACTTCCCCAGCTGGTTTATTTTCCTGTTACTACATGGACTTTAAGCCAGCAATTTACCCATAAAAACAAACTGTCTGGCTCACAAAAGAGCTACGGTGGATTCCCACTAGAGCCAGTGGAAAAGTTTTCATTGAGTTCAGTGGGTTTGGTAACTGGTATATTTGATATAAATAACAGAGAATCAAAATTCATGACAGGACATGTTAAGAGAAATAAGAAAATGCAGAATACTTCTTTCTCTCTGAAAAAAAAAATGCACACAGCTATCAAGTTTCACTTTTCCCCCCTCCTTGTGTAATGGCTTAGTCTTTTGATAACTTCCAGCCTGTCCACAGAGAGCCTGGGGCCACTGCACGATGACTGCTCTTTGATGGGGGAGCACACCTGCCAGCCAGGTTGCAAAGACAGGGTTGTTTGGGGTTTTTTAATTAAGGCTTGGTATAGTCATTTTCCCAATAATTTTTGTAGTTTGGAGTAACATGCATTTCACTGCTATATGCTTCCATTTATCTGGACAAGCTTAAAAGCACTGGCTCCATAGCAGTAGAGTCAGGGCAAACAGAAAATCACATTTTGGCAACCCAGTGGCTGTTTATGTGAAACCTGGGGTTTTTCTTATATTACTACATGAACCTCTCAAGAAATAAGTTTCTTTCAGTTTTCTTTTTTTGGGTTGTTAAAGTGAAGTTTGTACTTTTTTCAGAATTTAATTTATTTAAGATTTTGTATATTTAGTTTTGCATAATACATCTAATGGGTAAAGCATCTGCTGACCTGGGATTTCCCATTGCTAAACACAGCTGGCCTGTTGACCTAACAGGTTTTCAATAAACTGTCTAGAAATCACTTTGAATTCATGACTTGTCTTGCAATTGAAGTATACAACAAACATTTCAGACTGAAGCATGTAAAATTAGAAGTAAAATGCAAGTTTTCAAGCTGACCCTGTTAAACTGAGGGTGTAAATTTTTTTTTTTAATTTATAAAATCTTTATCCCCATATATGATGTCAGGGGTTGGCAGGGCCCTCTGTGGGTCACCCAGTCCAACCCCCTGCCGAAGCAGGGTCACCTACAGCAGGCTGCACAGGACCCTGTCCAGGTGGGTCTGGAATTATCTCCAGAGAAGGAGACTCCACAGCCCCCCTGGGCAGCCTGTTCCAGTGCTCCATCACCCTCAGAGGGAAGAAGTTCTTCCTCATGTTCAGCTGGAACTTCCTCTGCTTCAGTTTGTGCCCATTGCCCCTTGTCCTGTTGCTGGGCACCACTGAAAAGAGTCTGGCCCCATCCTCCTGACACCCACCCTGCAGATATTTAGAGGCATTTCTAAGGTCCCCTCTCAGCCTTCTCTTCTCCAGGCTGAAGAAGCCCAGCTCCCTCAGCCTTTCCTCATAGGAGAGATGCTCCAGTCCCCTCACCATCCTTGTAGCCCTTGTACTCTGTCCAGCAGCTCCTCAAGAAGTCGCCACTCTCGGCTGTCTCCTCTTGCTGGAGCTGGTGACGGAGGCGGCTGAACGTGCGGCTGGTGCTTCCTCCGGAGCTGCCGTTCGCAGCCTGACGCAGACGGCTGTCTCCGTAAATCCCCGCAACTGCACTGAGAGACCAAGTTTTGAGCTGTGGGAGCAAAGCAGGTTGACTTGTATTTTCTGTTGGATCTGTAGCTGCAGCACTGTATGCACTGAAGCATAGCTACATCCCTTGTGGTCGAAGCCCTGTGGTGGCTCCTTTCCAAGGTGTGTTCTTATGAGGACTTGTCCCATCAAAGCATGTTCTGGGGGACTGGAAAGCCTGAGGACAGCTGCGAGGCAGTAACACAAATCGATGGTGAAACCTTTCAGGTGGCTTCTTTACTGCGCCGCTGCTTAGGCTGATGCGTTTCAGCTGCTGTCAGCATCTAATTTTACAAAAACATAGTTTGCCTCATTGTTAATTCAAACAAGGTGCTTGTGTCCTGAGGTAGCATCTCGTTCTGTTGGTTTCTCTTCAGCCATGTTCTTGAAGGAGAGAGGTGGATGGAAGTTTTGTCCTTTCTTTTCTACGGTTCCAGGTCCCTGACTCGCAGTGCTGGTTTGTGAAATACATTTTTAAAATTTAATGCCTTGGAAAGTATCTTAACTAATTTTACAACTGCTTAGCAAGTGATGAAGTGCTGCAATGCATCCAATTAGTATTGCTTTTGAAAAGAATACCATCGTTTAGGGCAGTATCTGTTAATTATATTCTGACAAAGTCCTGTGAAGAGGCAGAGCCAGTGGCAACAAAAGTCTGCAATTACGACGGGGTACGTTGCCTGAAATACAAGAGAATTGTGCAAGTGAGATCGTTGGAGTAGATGCAGAGACTGTAGCTGCCAATACTCCCTGTAGGTGTTTGGCGGAGAGGGGAGCTTCTCAGGAGTGTATTTATTAGACGGTACAGACCACTGTGCAGTTAGCCTCAAAGCTGAATGTTTTGTTCTGCAAAATTTCATGGCCTCGTCTGATTTGTGAGGGTTTTTTGGTTGGTTGGGGTATTTTGGTTTTGTTTTGTTATTTTTGTTGTTTTTTTTTTTTTTATCTTCTCCTCTTACAGGCTCTTAGTCCGGTGTGAAGCTGATGGGTGGGATGCAAAGGTGAAGAATGATGTAATGCAGCGGCAGGCAGAAAGCGTCTTTTGTTTGAGTTGTGAAATGGCTACTCCATAGCCATCTCCCACCGCATCAGATGTGAGGGGCTGCTTTGTGGAAGGAACCCTTTCACGTCAACTGGAAGCAGGAGGAGACATTTGGCTGAAGAGCCCTTTCTGAAAATGGGTTTAACTTTTCTTTTGCCAGTCACCACCAGCATGACCTCATACGCTTCGAGTACAATGGCGTGGCTAAGCCTTTGAGTCCACAGCCATTACATCATCGCCGCAAATTAGAGAGGGAGGTGGTGAAAGGAGCCTGATTGTTGTCATGGCCGATGAGATGATCAGGACTCAGCTCATTGTCGCCGAGAAGTTGGTGGCTTTGCTGGAGAGCGGCACAGAGAAGTTGCTGCTGGTTGATAGCCGCCCCTTTGTGGAATACAATACGTCCCACATCTTGGATGCCATCAACATCAACTGCTCCAAGCTTATGAAGCGGAGGCTGCAGCAGGACAAAGTCCTGATTACAGAGCTCATTCAGCATTCGGCAAAACACAAGGTAGGGGTCGTTTTGCTAGTATCCCGGGTATTTGTGTAAAGGACTGCCTCGAAAACGACTTGTCATCATTTTCCCTTAGGCTTTGGCAGGGGGTTGGACTCGATGACCCACAGAGGTCCCTTCCAACCCTGAACGTTCTGTGTGATTCTGTGTTTCATTTTGGAAAAAAACAAAATCGGGGCACTGAGTTTTGCAGAGCTCTTACCTGATTGAAGAGACTATTTGCTACTACTAAGTTTATCTTTGGGATTCTTTATAGCCTGCTGTCCCCTAAGCGACAGAGCAGCGGGGAGGGATTTAGAAATGACTCGGAAAGAACCCTCTTGGGGCTCTTGTGTGTCTTGCAGAGCACAGTCCCTTAAATGTATGCAACAAAGGCTGGAAACATTCGAAACCTCGAGGGGTTCCTTGGGGTCCTACAGTTTGCAGAGAAACTGTGGCTCTGTCAATCCTGGCTCCTGCTCGCTGTTCAAAATATTTTTCACGCGAGGAGTCTGATGGGTTTTTGGTTGTTTGGGTTTTTTTAAGTAGTGTTGCTAGCGTAAAGAAAATAGCTAAGCTGTTTAAACTTAATGTGTGTCTATGTCTGTTCTGGTTTGGTTTTTTAATCCGTTGGTATTTGTTTCAAATGCTTTGGTTACAAAAGTAATCTGTCACGTTCTTGCTTTGACATGTTGAACACTGAAACTTTTTTGTTATTATTACTGCTACTACTATCAAAGGCATATTTTTTACATAAAGTTGCATAGATGGCTAAAATGTGTGTGGTGTTAGGCAGCTGAAGATCTCTATTGTTTACACACAAACTGAGGTAGGACCTTCTTTTGACAAGCTTAATTTTCAAACAAACCGAGCTGAAGGTGAAGCATTTCACAAGTGGCCTAAAATCACCTAATGGTCGAAATTTACAGAGTATGCTTCAGCTTGGAGCAAAAAAATCAATTTACAAACTCTGAGAGGAATTAAATCTGATCAGGAATATGAAGTATAAAATAAAAACTATTTTGCGTACAGCTACACGAGAAATCCATGTATATGAACCGCTGCATAGCAAATAGGTGGGACCCCAGGTGGAGGGGATGATGTGGTGCTTTTCATCGCCTCCCTCCATCCCATCTCGTTCTGAATTACTTGTGTTTCAGATTGAAATTGATTCCAAGCAGGAGGTGGTGGTGTACGACCAAAGCTCGAAAGATGTGACCTCTCTCTCACCCGACTGCTTTCTTACCGTGCTCCTGGGCAAACTGGAGAAGAATTTCAGCTCTGTGTATCTACTTGCAGGTATGGTGTTACCAAGAAAAAACCCGAAACACTCCAATAAGGAGAAGAAAGAACGTTGCTGTCGTTAGAGCAGATGCGTACACGGTTTTGCAGCAGTGCTGGTATAAACTTCAGTTATGGCACAGCTTTTCCTGTAGTTCTTTATGCACGTAGTGGTGCTCCTAATACGTATAACGCTTAGAAATTGCATCTTACAGGGGATATGTTACACCACTGGTGCTGTGTAAATGCAAATTGGTCAACGCAGCGTTATTTAGACGCATATGTCTGCTGTTTTGGGGTCAAAAATAGGAAAAGAAATGCGCTTCCCTGGTCTTTTAAGCGTCATACATGCTAGGAGAGAAAAATCTCTTCCTCGCTGAGTTGGTCGTTCCTACGATAAGATCAAGAGAAATAATCTCCCAGAGTTATGATGATTGTTTTTTGTGACTTTTTAGACTTCAGCTCCTTAAGTGGTAGTACTCTGTTTAGGTCTTCTCCCTCACCTCCACCTATGGTTTTTTTTTTAAACTCCAGGTCAAAGCCTCCGTATAAATTCAGGTTCTTATACAGGATTTGTTGGTGTTGATGTGCGCTTGTGGTGGTGTTTCTGTCGTGGAACAGTAGACGCGGTGTTCACAAGAAGGAACAAGGAGGGGCGTGAAGTAGATCCAGGGCTGAAAGAAGAGGGGATGATGAACACAAGTAGGAAATCGGTTGCGGTGACTCGATCAGTGATCTAATGGAGTGTGTACATAGTCTCTGAAATGTTAAAACTGCAGTCAGAGACTGAATAACAATGAGGAAAAGGGAAGGAACTCCAGAGAGAAGCTTCCCCTTAGCAAGAAGGTTTCGCTGAGGTTTGTAGTGTCTTCACATGAAGGTGATAGGGAGGTGGGTTTGTTACGGAGAGAACTTTTCCCAAACTATTTTGAAAGCAAGTACAGAGAAAAAGAATAATTTCTGCACTTGGACGGGTGCATTTGGTGCTCATGGGAGCTGTACTTACAGAAAACTAAGCAGGATTTTCCTTTGGCTGTTTGGTGCTTCAATTTTTCTTTGCTCGCTTGGTAAGAATTACACCTGTGGGTTGTGGACTACAGTATTAGATGAAGTAATTCTTCTTCCAGTATGGCCACCAAGTAAATGTCTCGTGCTTAGGCACAGCAAATGCTTAATGTAAGAGTGCTGAAATAGGTGGTTGATACGCTCTTGAATTTAAAACTGTTATTTAAAAAATAGGCCAGTCTAGAAGCAGTTCATGTCTCTTAGAAAATCCTTTTATTGTTCGAATACCCAACTCTGCTCACCCGTCCCGAGGTTTTTATTAATGACCAAAAGTGTATTACAGCTCCATGCAGCAATACAGACTATTCACAACGTAATTTCCAGGATAGAAAGAGACGACAGCTCTCTAATAACTGAGAATTAGACCTCATGGCAGGGAGGAGTTGGGAGGGGACCCTTAACAATGCCAAGCAAAGGAGAGTATCGCAAAACTTCCCTTCCTTCTGCTGTCCTGCTGTAGGTTAGTTGCGTGAGGCATGGCTTTGATCTTCCATTTTCCTCTGCTGGACCCTGTGAAGGTGGTGGTCAGGACGTCTCCATCCTTCAGCTTGCCCGTGGCTCCCGTAGGGGTGGACAGTACTGGGAAGGGAGTGTTCCCAGCTCCCCGGTGCGCAGTCGGGGCAAACACCGCTTGCGTGTATCGTGATGGTGCTGTGAGAAATTGTTTTGGTTTGTTTCTCGCATGTGGTAGTTGCCTGTTCAACCTGCAAATGCAACTTAAACCATGTGCAAGATACCAGTGCACCTTAGCCAGCTGAGGTGAACTTAGCCACGTGCAGCTGGTAAGGATTGGGTTGGGTGTCAGATGGAGAGAAAGGGAATGAAGTGCGTTCACAGAATGGTTGGGGGTCGGAAGGGACCGCTGTGGGCCCCCCAGCCCACCCCCCTGCCGAAGCAGGGTCACCCAGAGCAGGCTGCACAGGACCTTGTCCAGGTGGGTCTTGAATATCTCCAGAGAAGGAGACTCCACAGCCTCCCTGGGCAGCCTGTGCCAGGGCTCTGTCACCCTCAGAGGGAAGAAGTTCTTCCTCATGTTCAGCTGGAACTTCCTCTGCTTCAGTTTGTGCCCATTGCCCCTTGTCCTGTCGCTGGGCACCACTGAGAAGAGTCTGGCCCCATCCTCCTGACACCCACCCATGTGTTAGAACCCTCCTTATAGAAAGGAGGATTTTTATTTTAGCATGTCAAATGCATTTTGTCTTAACAAAGATCAGATTTGAGAATTTAATCTTATTTTTGGTTAAATAGCTAGTGATGGGGATATTTATGAATGCAGAAACAGCTGATGGCTTTAAAACCAGTGGTAGAGGAGTATGAGAACAAAAGGGAGGTGTGAAGTGTTTACTTCTGATCTGTTACAGGTAAGTGCTTATTTCAGGAAATCTACCCAATTGAGATGAATTGGTAGTAAAGTAATTAATGTCAACTCTGTTCCTTCAGCTCTCTAGGGTTTCTTTCTTCTATAGTGAGTTTGCTCTGATTTTAATCCTTACATAAGAAAATACCTTTCACAGTCCTGTTGTTTTCTTACATCTATTAAAAAGCTAGCTACTTAACACACACACACACAGAGGAAACCTTCTGGGATGTGGGGTGGAGGAGAAGGTGCTAGATTCGGTCTTACAGAAAGTTCCGTGGAGGTTATTGATACGCGGCTCTAGGAAACGAGATAAAATGTATTGTCTCAGCAAGCTGATGACCAGCTCTCATAAACATTTATGGCCCATAATGAGAGTAGGAGTCAGTGCACCATGTGAAAAGAAAAACCTTTGGACTTGGAAAATAATTTTTTTGTTGGGATAGAATAGGGAGCAGTTAACAAATATCTGAAATTCCTGCATCTGTTCTTCCTTACTCCCGCCATTTCTGAGCACTCAGTGAGGTGATTTTTTATTTAGGTTGTGCACAAAGGTATGCTCTACCCTGGAGGTTGTTTTTCATTGAAGTACTAAGGAAAAGACCTCAAAGGAACCCTTACCAATTAGTTTAAGCTCTTGATCTAACCTCATAAAAATATTTATAATCTGGTGGGGAATGTTCTCAGGAATTTAAAGATTTGTTTTGGTTCTTAATTTTTAACAGTGCACAAAATACTGAAATGTGGGTACTGAAGGCTTAACCCCACTCCAATCATTGCATCCACGTTACCGAATTAAACAAGATTTAAACACAGGGATGTGACTCGATTCCTTCTCTTCCCATATTTTGAGAACTGGATTTATTTGCCTGGAGTCCTTTTCCTAGTTACAGTATTTTTGTGATGTTTCTGCTTGCTCTGTAGAAACAGTTAAGAGAGACTACAGATTGTTGCTTGATGAATTAGCATTATTAAGGTGGTAAACGCCAAGAGCCTTGCTTAAATTCTATTCCACCGTGCCAGTGGAAATCATTCATGTTCTGCTCCCCTACTTCTCTTAATCTGGCTTACTCCTGCCCGTGCAAGCACAAATGTCTTCATGATGGTTGCCTTTCAGATGTTGCCTGTGATGATGGGGTATTTTGATTTTTGTACAGCAGACTCATGCTAGGCAGAAGCATTTCTGGAAAAATGGAAATGCCTGCCTTTCTGTATTTCTAACCTAAAATTAAAAATTGCAAGAGCCTAACACAGAAACACTGCACTGGCTCTGAGCTGGAACCAAAAGCAGGAATTCTTGTGCTTGGGTGGATATGGAGCAATAGTAAAGGTCCAAGAAGGACTGGCTAGACTGCAGACTACTGTAATGCAGGATCATAGAAACAGTTTCACTGAACTCTCGAAGAGTTTTTTAGTGCTGCAAGACCAGAGTGTATTTTGCCAGCAAACCATGAAGGATGTATTTTTCTGTCAGTCACTGAATTACCACTCAGACTTGATGTACGGCGGTATTCAATGCCAGAGAACAACCAATATGGAAAGCTTACATGATGTACCAGATGATAAAGTGTGTGGGCAGAAGGGGAGTTAAATGTACTGGAGACCTTTTGTGCCCTTCTAGAACTGGCCGTACGGTTTTACCCCCCAGTGTCTGTACGCTGAGACGTAGATCTGTATGTGACTGTATTCCTTTGGAGCTGTGCTGCTTCTTAAATAGCATCCACCTGATCTGTAGGTGTAATTGGGGTTCTGTACAGAAAGTTCATAGAATCACAGAATGGTTTGGGTTAGAAGGGCGCTCATAGGTCATCTGGTTCCACCTCCACTGCCATGGGCAGGGACACCTTCCACCAGACCAGGTTGCTCAAAGCCCCGTCCAACCTGGCCTTGAACGCTTCCAGGGAGGGGGCAGCCACAGCTTCTCTGGGCAACCTGTGCCAGTGCCTCACCACCCTCACAGTAAAGAAGTTCTTTCTTATGTCCAATCTATAATTTACCCTCTTTCAGTTTCAAGCCATTGCCCTTTGTCCTATCACTCAATGCTCTTGGAAAAAGTCCCTCTGCAGCTTTCTTGCTTGGTGGTTGGAGGCGAAGCTGCCATCCTTCAGTGGATGAAGCAAAGACTACTGGGGAAGAAAGCCTGGTCTCACGCTCAAGTCAGATGAGAGCTGGCTTGAAAAGGGGTCCATAATTTTCTATGTGCTACTTCCTACACAAGTTACATGTATGATTCAGGGAATCACTAGTAGAGAATTACAGATTTTCTAGGTGCCCCGCATGAAGCCAGCGTCCGACTTGCAGAACCACTGAGCACCGAGCCAGGGAGCTGCACGACTCCCTCCCAAAACCGTGGTTGGACCATGGGTACAGTCACCACGTTAACAAAGTGGTGGTGACAGGTAATCAAGGCCCAGGTGGTGAATTGCCTAGTAATCTCTGCAACCCTTCTGCCTATGAAAAATGTCACCAGTAATGTGATTTCATGGATTTTGCTTTCACGAGAGCTCTCGGAGAAGCTTCTGCAGAACGCAAAGCTACCGTGGTAACCAGAAAGACATAAATTATTAATATTCTATTCAGTGACAAATGCAGGCAA